TTTTGGTTCTAATATCCGAGGGGTGAGCGGTGATTCTTTGTTTGTTTCGATTATGATTTCACGGTTTATTGTGGTGATTTCTGGCTTGAATAGAGGGTACACTTTGGGTTTGATGTTCCTTTTTTTGGTGACCGTTGTGAATTCCGTGTCTGTGTTTTTGGCGGCAGTGGCTGAATAGGATTTCTAGGCAGGAGGGTTCAAGTGGGTTGGGTGGGTTAGGTTTACTGGTGTTTTGTCTTTGTTTCCGGTAGGGGTTTTGGGGTTGAGTGCACGGTTGAGTACCTGGACGGTTGCAGGTATGGGTGCAGTGGCAGGGGCAGGGGTAGGTGCATGAGTGGTGGGTCGGTTGAGGGGGAGGGAGGTCTGGTGTTGCATTCTGTATAGTTTTTCGGATTGTTTGTCTTGGTTTTTAGTCATTTCAAATAGCTGTTTCCCTAGTATGTGGACCGTGTATTTGAGGGCCTTGTTTTGTTGTAGTAGGAGTTCATTACTACTGTTAATCTTGTTGTTGGTTTGGTCGATTGAGTGTTTAAGTTGTTTAATTGTGATGGTCAGTGCATTTCTCACGACACAGGAGATGTAGTTTAAGTCCAGTCTGGTGTGAGTTTCTTCTAGAACGATGCTCGGGTGAATGTAGTCGAATCTGGTACATATGGTTTGGTGTATTGGGCAGGTTCTGCAAAGCCCGAGAAAGGTTCGTTGTTGGTGATTTGGGTCTGTTCGATAACGGTGGACTTGGTTTGTTGTGGGTTTTAGGTGGGTTGGGTTTGAGTTTCGGTGAAGCGGGAGGCTGCTGGAGTGCCTGGGGGGGGAGTGCCCATGAATCAGTAGCTAATTGAGGTTTGTTAGGACATAAGTGATTTCTCTGAGCGGATTGGGGCGGGGGAGACCTCTGATGGAATTCATTTCTGCAGCGAAGTTTGTGGAGGTGGTGGGATGGGAGTTCGTTGGCAATGCCAGTTTTTGTTGTAGTAGTCGCGAGATTGTTTATTCTCGGTTGACGGGTATTTGGTGAAGAGTAGGAGTTCATAACTGAGAATCAGAGCATGAATAACTTCGTGTACGAACAGATATGCGATAAGATACCAAAAGCTTATGCGATCTATTGACATACAGGATAGTATTCGAGTAAACGTCTTCTTGGAAGTGCGAGCCAAAAGTATTGTTGTTCGAAAGTTTTGGTGTTGCGAAGGACAGAAGACGTTGCATATCAAAAGAAAGGAGAGAAAGAGAAAGAGCGATGAGGGCGAAGCCTTATTATACCAGGGAAACCCCAGCGATAACAAATCTATAATGGCTCATACCTTTTGCGATCTACAGAACCCAAAAGCACCTCATAGAATCTTTCTGACTAATCCAACTCTTCGTAACCCAGCGTATTAACTAATCGATACATGAAAATAATTGGTGATTATGATAACAGATGATAGATGGTGATATATGGTGACAGATATTGAATACTGATGGTAGCACTGACCATTTGGCTTACCAAATCACTATTTGAGCGGATTGTGTTTTGCACCCTTCAAATTACATTTTGCGAGAACTGTGGCGGCCATGAGGCGGTGCTTCAAAACGGAGCCTTAGAATGTAGAGGCCTTACAGGTGGTTAGTAACCACTACAACTCGTACTATCATTCCACAAGCAATTGGAATTCTATGATACCTCTCAGAATGCAACATGCCCATCTGTCCTCATACACCAAACGTTTGAAGTGGCTTCATTACAATATTCTGTATTCGTTTCTAGATCTTCACGCAAAGTCCTCCTTCTGTACTTGAATCAATAATTTACTTTACTTTGCTCCTACGTTTCAGTTCCGCCTCGTCTTTTTACTTGTTCAAGCTCTTATTCTAACCTTATATGGAATTTTCACTACCTGTCCCAACCCGATCGTATTTGGAGTATAACGTGACCCGGCCTTGCCCCGTTAAAGTGGGGCTAGTAGGAACCTCGTTTGCTCAAAATCCCACTTATTCTTCTGCTTGTGATTCATTTCAGAATTCAGTGCTAGATATAATCTCTTAACAGAGTAAAAACCTATCGACATGGGATGCTAGAAAATTAGGTCATCAATATCTTGTCTATTATGCTTCGACAAGATTTGAACCTACAATCTCGTACAAACTCACAAATTTCCTAATACACAGAGATGAGACTACTGCAATTGAACTCACTCATAAATTGAAGAAACAAATCAAAAAAGGGTGGTTACCCAGTACCGTTGCTAGGCAGGATCGAGTGTTAAATCAAGATCGAGTGATAACATATGACCACCATACTATTAGGCGGGACTAACTATAAGCGGCTAGTTTCCACATCAAGACTGCCAGTATGAAACATATAATTTGAGCACTTTGACTATACGCGCTGGCCGGGTCTGAGACGAGAATGAAGTGGTTCAGGTCCAGATAATCAAACAAGTGACGCATACGTCACTTCCGCCAAAGTGACTCCTCCGCATTATAGTCTGCATCTCCAATAAAGAATGAGGGGTGTTGTCTTTGGCTAGTTAGATATACTCCTCCCGATGTCTACGAACAGTGTGTTGACCACCATTTCTAATTCCACTACATTCTGCGCTCTTGTACCAAAGACCAACGTAACTCTCATCGATATGCGATGTGTCCGACAAGGAGATAGTGTAGTGGCGTTGGAGGATTGCAAGCGGCATTGGCTACCTGCCACACTCTGGCTGCGGGACTACATTCCAGTCACCCCACCGTGTAATGACGCCAAAGACAGACACCATGAGAAAGACTGGCCCGCCTGTGTCCAACGGCGGCGATGGTGCCGACAACGTCACAGGTCTGGTGATGGGAGTCCATTTTATAGAGACTCGAACCAAGACGGCAGCACGCTTGACGAAGTGTGCAGGCTAGCTATAGATGTTGGGTGCGGATCGTGTAACTTTATCAACCGCATTGTGTACAATGATGCGATTACTGCCGTTTTTCATGGACCTCCTAGATGGCGGCGGGCGAGCGGGTCCTTCGAGTATGTGGTTAACTCGTCGTGCACGGGGTTACGAAGATGGCCGGAATTATCTTCAGCCATCTGATTGATCTAAGTTCTAGAGGTTACTCGTCGCGCTCTTCAAAGACGCCCTTACGAGTGAGAGGAGCCGTGTAAACAATTGAGAGCAACAGCCAGAGATCTCGGAAATTTGAGTCCAACCCCGAAAAAGGCCTTGGGACCAGATCTAGACATATACACTTGGATAGACACACTTGCACCAGAAAGGACACGCCAATCCCACCCGGCCCGCAACTGGCGTCGCATCCACCAGATCATCGGCACTTGACCAGGTGGCCAACCCAGAAAGAAAAAAAATAACCCCAGACCATTTCACCCATGGGAGCCGAACACTCATCCACACATGGAAGCTACAAGGCCCCGGCCCCATCATGGTCTCCCGACCATACCCCCTTAATCCACCACCACATTCACATGTAGAGTACATAAGGTATGTATGTACAGTACGATGCCAGCCGTGAGGGTCAGGCGCAGCGTCGCAACGCCCCCCGAACCATCACGGGTACCAGCACAGCAACCACAATTGATCCTTTGGAGAGCTGAATTTTTGTATAGTTGTTAAATAGTAGATAAATAACAATAATTTGACATTGAATATCATGTGTACCAACCTGCCGTGAAAAGGTTGTGGAAATCTGGTTGCGCGCGCGGCGTTGCAACGCCGCGCCTGACCCTCACGACTGGCATCGTACTGTAGCTTTCATGTGGTGAGACAGGAACTTGTGTAACCGCAGATCAATACCCGATCCTTGTCCCAGTCTTGGCTAGGATTAACGGCGGCCGTTTGATCATTGGTTTTCCAGATCCATCAACGAACTCGACGCCTCTGAGTGACCATGACCAACACGCTACGTGAAAATATGAGAAAGAGTCTATATCGCCGCGAACGCCAAAATGTATATCTCTCAGTTTTCCTTGTGATGAACCCTTACCTAGTCTCGCGATGGGGACGAGCTTGGCACATGTTGGTTGAGACGGAATGGAGAGATGTGGAGTATTGTATCCCTACGTCTGGCAATGCTGCCTACCCTATAACATAGGAATTAGATTTGTATGGGAGATCTATTATTTGATAAGAGAGATAACGGGATCTGTTAGTAAATCCACATATCAAATTTGCTTTTTTGGGGGTGGGCAGCATTTTTTGCCAGACGAAGGGATAAATCAGGCCGTTAGAATATTATTATTATACCTTCCCTCTTGGGATGACAACAACAACAACGACAACCCAACAACAGCGGCGTTTAAACAAAGTTGAGCTCAGTCCAGTACTGAAGAGCGTCGCTTACATGTCTCAGTCAGATCAGCAGCTAGAATCCAACCAAGTCCAGAGATAAGCGGGATAGAGACTAAATGTTGTTGACGTTGGTGGTGATAAATCTTATAGGGTTTCTCTCTAGTACTTGTAGAAATAGGTGCTGGCTGGCCGGCCAATAGGACACCTCCAATGTTTCTACACCACAATAATCTTAAATACCACCCCCTGCTGTAAATTATACCAGGATGTGTATAGATATACTCTACTATATAGATCGTGTCTCATCTTGTATAACCGCGCCACCCACCGCCACCGCTCAATCTGATTCCTGGGCAAAGAGAGTATTATTGATCATATAATATAATACCAAGTGGGATGCCTGAAAAACCCCGCCCCAGTTATAAGTTTGGTACTGCCGCCTAATCCTATCTCCACTCTCCCCTCTCTCTCTCTGTCTCTCTCTCTCTCTCTCTCTCTCTCTCTCTGCTTCACGACCAACACAACCACACAGCACTCCCGCCATATCTACACAGACAGTCCCCACATTGCCTCCATCTGGTTTCTTTCAAATATATATATATATATCTTCACCCGCGCACCGGCCATCGAGGCGGAACAGTAATACCCATCTCTGACGGTCCGCCCCTCCCATCACCCGCCAACAGAAAAGTACTAACCTCCACAGCGGCTCTAAGGATACCCCCCATGACTACCCTCACCATCGGCGCTGTTGCCCTATCTGCCCTCACCGCCGGCATCTTCCTCCGTAGCCCCACTCAGGAGAACCCAACAGTCACAAAGATCAGGCGCCACTACGAGTACCAAGCGCGCCAGGCGGCCGAAGACCGTGACCGAGAGCGGTGCGCAGCGAAGCTGGAGGAATCGCGGAGAAACCTGCAGGCGATGGAGGCGGAGCGGAAGCGGCAGGAGGCGGAAATAGAACGTGCTAGGGCGAGGGCAACACTCCTGGAGCGTAGGAGAGTGAAGGAGGAGCAGGACGCGGCTGCGGAGCGTGCTAGAGCGGTCGAGGCAGAAAGGTCGCGGCAGGAGTCGGAGGCGGTACGTGCAAGGATAAGGGCGGCGCGGGAGACGGCCGCGGAACACAACAGGATAAAGGCGGAGCGAAAGGCAGTCGAGGAGCGTACGAGGGTAACAGCGGAGCGTGAGAAAGCTATAGCGGAGAGAAGGGCCATGGAGGAGAGAAGGGCCATGGAGGAGGAAACCCGGCTGAAAGAGGAGGAAGCACGGCGGAAAGAGGTGGATGCGAGGATTGCGCTCCATAAACTAGAAAGGGAGACGCGGGAGCTCACTAGGAGACTGCAGCAGCTCGAGAAGATGGAGAAGGAGCAGAAGGAGGCAAAAGACCAACGAGACAAGAAGAAGCAGCAGGAAGCGGGCAGCGCGGTGTTTGGCCCGCTGCTGTGGCCCACTCGGGCCGAGTTCCAGGACGCCATGCAGAGGACTCAGTACGACCGCAATAACTTCCACTTTGCCATCGTCGGTAGGGCTGGCTCTGGAAAGTCGTCGCTCATCAATGCCTTCCGAAACCTGCGCAACAAGGACCCCGGCGCCGCAAAGGCGGGCACGACTGAGACGACCCTCGAGATTGGCCGCTACCCGGATCCTGGGACCGCACCGCCGCGCCAGTGGATGGTTTGGTACGATGTCCCGGGTGCCGGCACCCAGCGCATCCCCCACCACGACTACTTTGTCCGTCAGGGGCTGTTTGTGTTTGACCTAGTGGTCCTCGCAATCGGGGATAGGTTCGAGGAGATTGACGTGCGCATCATCGAGGACTGCGCGAGGTTCCAGATCCCGACCTTCATCGTGCGGTCCAAGGCGGATATGCACATCCTCAACTCGATGAAGGAGTACGGCGGCTATGTGCGGGTCGAGGACAACCCCGCTCTGTATGCAAAGTGTCGGGATGACTTCATCTTGGAGACTCAGAGGACGGTGAGTGAGGGGCTGGCAAGACAGAAACTCCCGGATCAGGAGGTCTACATCGTATCGAGGGATGTGCTGCAGCGCACGTACAACGGCGCCCTCCAGCGTCTCAAGATGCCGGACTGGGTCCAGCGGGACGTGGAGGTTATCCACGAGAGGCACTTCTCCAAGAAACTGATCGCTGCGGCTGCTGGGCGGCGGTGTGAGGCCGGCAGCAGCAGCGGGGGAGGAGAGAAAGGGAAAGGGTACGGCGGCCAGGCAAGAGCGGAGTCCGGGTCCCGGGGCCCATCGCAGACATCAGTCGCCACTACGCTTAACAGGGTGAGGGATACAGGTACGGGAGGAGGAGGAGGAGGAGGAGTAGGAGGTGGAGGAGGATTCGCCGGCGGTAACGTTAACGGTAACGGTAACGCCGTAGCCCGCACCGAGCCCGCCGGGCCCTCAAACCCCCCCACCTCTCCCCGCGCGAACCGGCAGCGCAGCCAGGCACCGCCACGGACATCGACACCCGCACCGGCGCAAAACAGAACAGCCCCCGCGGCGAACGAGCGCAACCCAGTACAACAACAAGCACACGCTGCCAAAGAAACCCCCCAACAGGTGCGCAAGATGATATACCCACGCGAGCCCACCGATTCAAAGGAGCTCTACGACGAGATGGTTCGCAATGATCCTGAAATGGCGAATATGCTCGTTTACAAGCCCCGCATGTTCAGCCCGACCGCTGGGATGCTCACATTCTATCCTCTTGCGCCTATCCCGTACCAGGTAACTGCCTTTGGAGGGACCCTGCGTATTGGGAACTACGAGGTGCGGCATGGAGGAGGGAAAAGAGTGGGAGGGAAGGAAAAAGGAGGACCAGCAGCGGCAGGACAAAATCGGGGCAGTGATCCGCCGGCACTTCTAGATGATGTCTCAGAGAGCGGTGGGAGCGTCGACAGTAGCGCGTTAGAGATAAATGCCAAACGCGGTCAGATGAGGAAGGGAAAGGGTAAGGGAGGCTACTAGAATCAAAAATTCCGAAAGCTCCAGCGGCGGTACAAGCACCAATCGGCGCCACACCCCCCCCCCCCTCTCTAAAGCTACTGTTTTACGCATTTTGATGCGCTTTTTCGTCCTTTCGCTCTTACTTTTTGTTAGTGTTTTGTTTTTTATCTTGGTCTCATGATTACTTGTTCTCCTTTATTTCCGATTATTGTTGCTCAAACAAATGTGTAAGCTCAGTACATTGCTAACAGCCTACCCTACGGGGTGCGAGCTCGTCCGTTTCCCCTGTGTATTGCTTGAGTTCGCGACGCCCCCAATAATTAATGCAGTAAGGATTGGGATTTGGACATGCCCTACCAGCTTTGTCGACCCCGCGGCCCTGTGTGGAGCGGACTGGGATCATCCTTGGTAAGCTCGAGTGGTGAGCGGTGCGCTTGAGCAGTTGCTGGTGGAGGTATTCGGTTTTTATATTAGCAGCTTTGGGTTTTAGTTTTTTACGTAAATTTCATTTTTCGTTGGAATTCTTCAGGGCCTAGCAGGTCCTAGGATATGCATGATAGGGAAAAGGAGGGCGACATGACCGGGGAAGGTTATATGTGCGTACGGTGTAGTGAGATTTCCGGTTAGTGCATAGCACCTACGAATAGGAGAAAACATACTTGGAAAGCGAAACAATTTGCAGTTGGGCGGGGAAGCCGCAAAGATTATTCTCTAATCATTGGTTGCTTCCCGGGGGAGAAGGTTGTTCTGTGGTTAAAACTGCTTGTTCGAAACGTTGCAACTAAAATCAATGAAATTAAGTCTCTCGCTCAACTTCCAGTCACAAATAATCCAAAGTCCGAAATAGTTCAAGTCCGAAGTCCCAAAGTCCCAATCGCATGTGCTCACGAGTTGTCCCTGTTATGGGAACATAAAACACTATTCTAAGTTGAGGAATAGTAAGGAGAACGAGTGACAGATGGTGATTCGGGTGCAGTCGGGTAACAGAAAAATAAGCATAGAAAGGTACAAGTAGTTTCCAGCCTTCGGCCGGTACTATATGTATAAGAATCAGTCCAATATACAGGCAATATGCTTTGCGACTTATTTCTCTTTTGCCTGTCAGTTGGGGCTCTCAGGCCGCTGTTTGGTCCTCGATATAATGGGGGTGCTATGATGGGACACGACCATGACTTCAATCAGGTGAAACAAAAAAAAAGAAATGAACGGGTTATGAAGGGACTTGTTCTGTTGGAAATAAAGAGTTTGTTTGATAATTTTTCTAAGTCTAAAAACTTAATAACTTCAAGGGGTCTTCTCGCTAGTAAAGATCTGCTGATGATGAGAGGCCAACCTGGGGCAAAACTGAGTTATTTATAGAGGTCTGGCATCCTCAGTCTTGTTCAGGTTCTTTTTTCTGAGGGCATTCTCTCTATCATTATTCAGGGGCGCAGCGACTATTTCCTTTGATGGGAGAGAAGAGTTGCTACCACCCCTCGGACGAACTTCTGTCCGAGTCAAATCACGCAATTTCTCCCAAAAACTGGTCAGGATCCTAAGAACTAACAGAAAGGGCCGACCAGACAGCAATTGCTCATTGAAATTGTTTAGAATAGATTTGGGTATTTGTAAAGTGAAGTTTTGCTTGAGCAGCTTGGGTCGCACTTTACTCTCCAAAGATGCACCAGGCTGAAATAGTAGGATTCTAACGGTTTGACTCTCCGATGGTTATTTTAGGGGTCCAAAACGTGTTTTTTGGAATTAGACCTCCTATCATGTCCGGAGCACCACCTGGATGATTTCTGTAATGCTAAAGCATATTCTTCAGATATCTGTTGTGGAGTTATTGCACCTGAAAGATTGACTCCCAATGTAAAATAATTTGGGTTTGGAGTTATCTGTAACGGTGGTCTATGGACGTAGGGACTATGGTGCCAAGGAATACAACCGAGATGAGAACGTGGCAATAGGTACTCAAGACTATGGACTATGGAGTGGCTCTATCTAGTATGACGACTAGTTGAACCCTATGGCGAGGCGTAGAACAAAGTAGTATTCATGGAGTAGATACAGGAGGTTCCGTGCAGAGAAGAGGAAAGGAAGGAAAACATGAAAAGGCACGAGACAACACCCCCTTATATATCCAACTCCTAGTCCGTTGATGACTAATATCTTGCGTAACGGAAACCGAAAGAACATAGCAGAAAACCCATTACAAATCATAGTCCAACTACGCGATTCCTTCTCTTCACAACCAAATCTATTACCTTAGCCGAAATATAATATTGCCGTTACAGACTACGCCCCCCTCTAAGGCCTACCTCCTGGTAGGCTTAGGTTTCCGTGGATAGCGTTCATGGAACCGTCGAACAATATCAGGAGAATGCTCAAGGTCCGATAGCGGTTGCCAAGAGGCATCATTGTATCCAGTATATCGTACCAGGTACTCAAAGCCACCCCGTCGTTTCCTAGAGTCCACAATATCCTCGACTTCCCATTCTTCCTCCCCTTCGATCTCAACTGGAGGTGGTGGTGACTGTTGTTGTCCAAGTAATGGGTTACCCGCCTCAGGTGATAACAATGAAACGTGGAATACTGGATGGATCTTCATGGAGCGGGGAAGTTCTAGTTCATAAGCATAGGGGTTGACGATTCGTTTGATGCTGTAAGAACCAATCCGTTTCCAATCAAACTTTTTGGAGGGTCGCTTTGTTAGGATATGGTGGGTTGACAAGAAAACTTTATCTCCTATATGATAACGAGGTGCAGGAGAACGATTTAGGTTAGCCGACTCCTCTTGTATCCTTTGCACCCGAAACATTTCACTCTTCAGACACTCCACCATGTCCTTCATCTCCTTTGCAATACTGTTGGCTTGATCTTCCGCTGTCGTTTTACCATGTTCCAAGGGACCAAAAGTCATCCTGGGATTTCTTCCCGAGTTGGCATAGAAAGGAGAGACTTTTGTTGTTTCCGAGATATGGTTATTTGTTGCAAACTCAGCCATTGCGAACAGCCGGGCCCAATCGTCTTGCTGGTAGGAGACATAGCTTCGGAGGTATTGTTCCATTATGGCATTGATCCTTTCAGTTTGTCCATCAGTTTGGGGGTGAAATGCAGTGGAGAATCGTGGAGATATTTCCAGGCGTTTGCAAAGTGACTTCCAAAATTCCGCGACAAATTGCGTTCCTCTATCGGACACAACCGTATCAGGTAGTCCATGTAATTTCCAAACGTTATCGATATATAGCCTTGCTACTTCCTTCGAATCCACCTCTTTAGTTGTTGGTATTAGGTGTCGCATTTTGGTTAGTCTATCAACAACAACTAGAATCGCATTGTAACCATCACTCTCCGGAAGGTCGGTAACAAAATCCATTGAGACATCCGTCCATGGTCCATCGGGTATTGGCATGGGACGAAGTACCCCATAAGGCGCATTACGTGGTGCATTGCTACGGACACACATATTGCAATTCCTAACATATCGATCGACATCTTTTCGCATTTGTGGCCAATAATATTCCCGACTTAAGAGTTCCAAGGTCTTTGCTCTACCCGGATGGCCTGCCGATGGTTTGTCATGATGTTCTTTCAGGAGTCTCAGCCGGAGGTCATTGTCCCTTGGTACGTAGAGTGCGCCTCGATAAAGTAGCCGACCGTTGTTGTCTTCAGTACATTCGGCAAGTGAAATTTTATTTGAATGACGAACGTCACTTCGAAGCATAACGAGGATCTCGTTTGGGAAACTATCAACTTGGTAAGCTTTTGAAAATAACTCCTCCACAGTGGACATTCCTTCAGCGGATTCATTTGATAAAGAACCCGCGAACAAATTTAGCTTTGTATCCAAATTTTTTCGCTTCAGAACCACTTGGCTCTGGTGCGTCAGCCGTTCATCCCCCTCTTTAGGTAGATCACCTGATCTTGTAGTCAATGCATCTGGTTTCGCTCCTTGTTTTCCTGGTCGGAATTGTATAACGAAATCGAAACGTGAAAGGAATTCAGACCAACGAGCTTGTCGGCGGTTTAGCAATTTTGTCGTCATAAAATACTCTAGATTTCGATGGTCGCTGAAAACTTCAATAGGGAATTGTGCTCCTTCCAAATGATGTCGCCACTCTTCAAAACATCGCACAATTGCTTGAAGTTCCTTGTCATAAATTTCATAGTTGCATTCCGCAGGGGAATGTTTCTTGGAAAAGAAAGCGACCGGATGTAAAACCCCTTCATCATCATGTTGCGATAGAATCCCTGCTGAAACATAGTCGGATGCATCGGTTTCCACTACAATCTTTCGATTAGGATCGAAATGGACTAGTATAGGTGCCGTTGTGAACATCTTTTTCAAGGTTTGAAATGCTTCCTCCCTTTCACCTGTCCATTCGAATTTAACATTTTTCTTTGTTAGGGCTGTAAGCGGGGCGACAATCTTTGAATATCCCAAAATAAATCGTCGATAAAAATTTGCAAATCCTAGAAATACTTGAACATCATGAAGATTTGTCGGTGTAGACTATTCTAGAACATCAATAACTTTCTTTGGATCCATTTTGTTGCCATTTGGGGTAAGGATCAGGCCGAGATACTTCGTTTCTTGAACCATAAATTCACATTTTTCAGGTTTGAGATGAACATGATTCTCATCAAGTACTTTTAGAACCTTTCGAATGTGATCTTTGTGCTCTGTGAGGGATTCGGAGTAGATGAGAATGTCATCTAAATAGGCCGTCACGAATTGATCCAAATAGGGGCGTAGGATATCATTAATCCAATGTTGGAACGTAGCAGGAGCATTCGCTAATCCAAAGGGCATCACCGTATATTCAAAATGTCCGTACCGAGTCCGGAATGCCGTTTTCCATTCATCTCTTTCCGCTATTCTGATTTGATTGTACCCCCAACGTAAATCTAACTTGGTGTAGTACTTTGCTCTTGACAATTTGGCCAAAGTTTCCTTCAATAACGGTAATGGATAACGATTCTTAATCGTAATTGCATTAAGGCCCCGATAGTCGACACATAAACGAAGAGTTCCATCG